AGTTTATCAAAGCATGTATTTGTTTATTTATTTTTTCATTCATTCATTCATTCATTCAGTACAGGGGTTGAACCCAGAGATGCTTAACCACTGAGCTACAATCCAGACCTTTTTATTTTTTGAGAAGGGTCTCACTAAGTTGCTTAGAATCTTGCTAAATTATTTGGCTGTTCTAAAACTTGCAATCCTCCTGCTTCTGCCTCCCAAATCTCTGGGATTACAGGCGTGAATTACCAGGATCAGCTCATCAAAGTTTTTACAATTAAAAACCTAGGGTCATCACTTTGTGATTTTTATGGTATTTGTAATCTTTGTGAGTTGTGCTTATCGTTCTGATTAAATATTTACTTTCATCCCTCGTTCTTCTTTGTCCCCAAATTGTGAAGAAATCTGAGTCTGTTAAGACCTGACTTCACGAAGGTCCTACTCCCTTTCTGCATGCCCCGTGTCTCCGCGAGGTGGCGCTCCTCCTCGCGGCGCTGGCACCTGGGAGCGCACAGATTGGTAGCGCGGCACCCAGGCAGGTCATCTGGCCTGTTTGTCCCCTGTGGCATAATCACCTCGAGAATAGAAACACTCTTTCATCCTTCCGGGCTCCTCTGCTACCTCGGTGTCCGACTCCCACTTACAAATGGACTTACTGGGGGTAGATGAATGCTGCAGGGCTGGAGCAGAAAGTTGCGGGACTGCCTTCTTTGTCCTATTTACCAGGGTTCTGACGGTTTTTGTTTTGACTTTCCACCACATAGCAAGCAGATTTTTTGCTGATTCTAGATATCTGCACTGTTTACCCAAAAAGGCACAAAGCCCCAAAGAAGAAAAGTGATTTTGTCAGCTATTTGGTTGTGAGAAGTAAGCGCAAAGGTCAGACTCCTCTGGCAGCCAGGGACTCCAAGAACGCCCTACGTCGGGGAGAGTTGGGGAAGGCGTCAGCAAACTGTAAGTCACAGAGGAGCGGGGAGGCATCCGAGATGGAACGTACGCGGCACCACGTGTGCAACTTCAGGCACCGTTTCAGTTGTGAGTGTGAGAAGCAGAGTTCCCTGCGGAGCCCCATTGCTCCCTGCTGAGCCCCACTCTGGATGTTAGATCA